ATTCAGCTCGAGTTCGAGCTCGGCTCGATTGAAAATAATCCAGCTCGACTCGATAGAGCTCGGAAAGTGTTCAGTAACCTATCTTGTCAAGCTCAGCTCAAGATGAGCTCGATTTGAAATCATTCTTGCTGAAAAATGTGTAGATATAAAAATTTAAATGATAAAAGAATACTAGAAACCAAAAATCAACTAACTTCCATAAACATCCGTAATAACAAGATAATGTTCATATTCAGAAGAGTAATTAATCCTTTCATAAGCTCTAGACATGCCAGCTCGCAAGCTTAGCTCAACAAGCCACCGAGTAAAGCTAACTCACGAGCTTATCAAGGTGAGTATGGTCTAACTCAAACTTGGCTCATTTGCTAATGAGTCGGCTCGCGAGTCGGCTTTTTAAATAAAGAGCCGAGTATCAAATGAGTTTTTTCCTATTCGAATGCCTAGTTTTTCGCGAGCGGCTTAGCTCATTTGCAGCCCTACTGGCGAATCCCCTGCTTCAGGATTCACCGCGATGATATATTTCCCCGAATCTGAAATTACCTAGAGGGGGTGGTTTGTCTCCAGATGTCGAGTAGGAGAGGAAGGAATCTGCCGAGGGAGGTGCAACGACGAGTAGGGTTCTTGATCTAGAAATTCAGGAGGAGATGGGGATGATAAAGAAAATCCCTTTGTGAATTAAGGCAGCGCGACCAAAATAAGATCAACGACTGCACAATAACGCTAGAGATCCAGTCCTTGTTCAATCCCTACTCAGTGTTGTCGTCGCAAATCTTGATCTGACGATGGAGCTGCTGTTGAAGAAGAGGAGAGAAGAGTGCTTAATGTCGTCGTCGCGTAGAGTGCTCGACTAGCTATGATTCCAGATAGGACTGGAGGCATTGGGAAACGATTGTAACAATATGAGGGAGATAAGAAGAGAGTCGGAGGAGGAGGAGGAGAACCCAAGAATCGCCGCGAGAGGGCTGGGTGGTAGGAGTTTGGAGGTTCGACGGTGAAAGCAGGGAATGGGAGAAATAGAGGAGGAGTTGGGTTTGGTAGGGAATTATAGAAATTAAGTTTTATTTTTATTTTCTAATAGTTGTGAATATGATGTGGAAAATTTAAATGATTAACGAAAGAAGGAAGCCACCATATCCAATCAAAAACAGTGATGAAAACCGTGGGGAATTCATTGGAGGGGGTCACCCCGACCACTGATCCACAAAAGGGGACCTCATCTACCCACCTCTCTTAATGGATCCACGCATCTTTGTTTGGAACTGCAGGGGGCCGCGAGCAGGAAATTCTTCCATGTTTACAAGGAATATAAGAGGAAGCATAATCCTAACATAGTGATTATTGTGGAACCTCGCATTAGTGGGGTTACCGCGCAGAATGTTATCAATGAAATGGGTTTTGACAAACAGTTAGTAGTCGATGCTTCGGGGTTCTCGGGTGGCATTTGGCTTCTATGGAATGAGGCAGAATTCGCTATTAACCGGGTTGATAGTCACACCCAATACATTCACGTGCAGGTTGCAACTTCAGGAAGGCCGGACGACAAGTGGAACCTCACGGTTATGTATGCAAATTCGGCCCCTATTCAACGTCGACAGTTATGGGCGGCGCTGAGACAGATTGCCGAGGATCAAGAGCTGTCGTGGATAATTAAGGGCGACTTTAATTCGATCCTCCACCCATCAGAAAAGCTGGGGGAGCTCCTTTTGATGCTAGCCGGATTCGAGATTTTCAAGACTGCGTGAATGATGCGGGGCTAGTGGACATGGGGTTTTACGGGCCCTCGTATACTTGGTTTAGGAACGGGGTTCGCGAGAGACTTGATCGAGCTCTATCAAATAACAGTTGGATGATGACCTGCCCGGAAACATCTGTGCGACATCTCCCCAGAGTCAAGTCCGATCATATACCTCTTCTGGTGTCAACGAGGCCTTCTCCTCACCTAGGAGGGCCTAGACCGTTTCGTTTCCTTGCGGCCTGGCTGACACATGATGATTTTAAAAACATGCTCCAAACAGCGTGGGCTAAGGGGAACTCGTTTTTCCAGTCAGCAGCGGCCTTTGTTAGTGACGCAATCCGGTGGAACACTCATGTGTTTGGCCATATTCTGCGAAGGAAGGATGCACTTATTCGATGGATAGAGAGGCTGGAGTACAGGGATGGCAGTACTTATGTGTCTGCTCAGCTAGATATGCGAGAGAAGAGCTTGAGATGGTTTTGTTTCAAGAGGAACTCCTTTGGTGTCAGAAGTCTCGCCTAGAGTGGATTTCGTCCGGCGACAAAAACACTTCCTATTTCTAGGACTCTAGGACACTTGTGCGAAGAAAAAGAAACCGCATCTTAACATTGCTGAATTCGGCAGGGGATTGGGTGGTTGATGAAATGGAACTGCAGCAATTGGCCAGGTCGTTTTTTGAGTGGCTGTACACAGATGAAAATGAAATCGCCATCCCTTTACCTCGTAAGTTTCCCAAATTGGATGCAAGGGAATGGCAGGACCTCGCATGGAAACCGAATACAGAAGACTTTCTCCAGGCAATTCGTTCGATGGGAGCTCTGAAAGCTCCTGGGAAGGATGGGTTGAACCCGCTTTTCTTTCAACGCTGTTGAGACACGATCAGATCCTCTATGACGGACCTTCTTAAGCGGGGTTGGGACCAGCCGGGTCTAATTCGGGACATTAATGCTACCGTTTTGGTACTGATCCCGAAAGTAACGACCCCGACTGCGATCGAGCAGTTCCGCCCTATTAGCTTATGTAATGTGGCTTACAAAGTGTTGACGAAAACTATTGCGGAGAAGCTAAAACCGTTGATGTCTCAGCTAGTTTATGACACCCAGACAAGTTTTGTTCCGGGCAGGCACATAACAGATATCATCTGTATCTTACAGGAACTCATGCACTCTATGCGGGTGAAGAAGGGTAGGAAGGGATGGATGGTTCTCAAGGTTGACCTGGCGAAAGCGTACGACAGGATCCGATGGGAGTTTGTACGTGACACCCTGGAGGCGGCAGGGGGCCCCCGCGAAGGTGGTTGAGGTGACTATGGCATGCATCACGTCAACCACCATGCAGATCCAGTGGAATGGGGGTCTAACCGACCCGTTTTCACCCTCAAGAGGGCTACGACAGGGATGTCCTCTCTCTCCCTATCTTTTTACTCTTTGCATGGAATGTTTGAGTCATCTTATTAACGATTCTGTTAGGGATGGGACTTGGGAGCCAATCAAGCTGACCAGCGATGGCCCCGCCCTCTCACATCTGTTTTTTGTAGATGACTTAATTTTATTCGGGGAAGCATCGACACAACAATCTCAGGCTATTATCCAGTGTTTTGAAAGGTTTGGGGCAGCCTTGGGTCAGCGCGTGAGCAAACCAAAGTCTCGAATCTTCTTCTCAAGCAACGTGACGCCAGACAAGAGAGCTTCCCTGAGTACCGAGCTTGAGATTCCACAAACAGCAAATCTCGGCCGTTATTTGGGAGTACTGGTCATTCACGATCGGGTGTCCAAGGCGACGTATATTGAGCTGATAGACAGGATCGACAGGAAGCTAGCGGGGTGGAAAGTGGAGACTATGAGCTTAGCAGCGCGCATTACACTCGCGCAATAGGTTCTTTCCTCGCTTCCCTCGTACACCATGCATACTTTCTTTCTCCCGGCTAGTGTTCGTGAGTATATTGACAAAAAAGTTAGAGTGTTCATTTGGGGGAGCACGGAGGGGGGAAGGAAGACCCACCTGGTGGATTGGGACATAGTCTGCAGGCCAAAAGATGAGGGAGGCATGGGTATGCGATCGGCAACCAGAACGAATGAGGCATACATGATGAAGATAGCTTGGAGACTTCACACTAAACCGGATGAGCTCTGGGCACGGGTAATCCTACATAAGTACATGCGCTCAACTGAGGAAGGATTGACACCGCGGAGGACAGGGAGGCTATCGAATCTATGGCGGGGGGTACTGCGAGTGTGACATAGAATGGAGGAGGCATCGGTGTGGAACATTCGCAATGGACGCACGGCCACGTTCTGGACAGACCGCTGGCTAAATGATGGAGAACCATTGGCTACCTACTCTCAAGTTGTTCCGGAGTCGGCAAGGGATATCCCAGTGGCAGAATTTGTGCTCAACGGTGAGTAGAATCGTGATTATATTAATCATTTGTTACCTGCTGCTGTGGCTTCGCAGGTCTATCTCCACCCAGTACCAACGGAAGCATAGGAGGACGTGCGATGCTGGCGCTTCTCCCCGAATGGGAAGTTCACCTTCAAGACAGCATAAGAGATGATGGGGGAGGAAGACCAGGGCCATCTACACTGACACCCTAAGTGGCGCACAATATGGAGAATCCCGGCGATGCAAAGGATGGGAACGTTCATGTGGTTGGCCAACCATAGTCGGCTACTCACCAATGCGGAGCGGAAGCGGAGGCACCTCACGGAGAATGACGGGTGCAAGACTTGTGGAGGAGTCCCTGAAACCATGACCCACGTACTACGTGACTCCCCGTACGCAAGGGAAGTCTGGGCAGGGATGCTTCATGAAGAGCCGGACCAAGATTTCTTTGAGCCTAGTCTTGATCGCTAGATATTCCACTACACATCGGGTCGTGGTCATTCCATTGACAGCACTCTCTTCACGTGCATGTGCTGGCTGCTGTGGAAAATTCGGAATAATTTCTGCTTCCAAGGTAAGTTGGACTCCTAGGCACACATTCAGGCTAGCTCGGTGCGGATTTGGCATCAAATCATGACAGCTGCGAAGAAGGAGCGAGAGGTAATCGGAGATGGGGGACTCCGAGCGCCTGCGATGATCCAATGGCAGCCACCGCCTCAAGGGTTGTCATGCCTAATCACTGATGGATCTGTGATACTCGCACCATCAAGCACGGCGGCCGAGGGCGTCGTCAGGAGGGACGATGGCCGCCTCATCACCGCGTTCTCCATGAACTTTGGGGGGGGGGTCCATTACAAGCGCCGAGCTAGCAGGGATTGTGCACGGGTTACAGATTACTTGGGAGGCAGAAATTAGGAAGGTCGTTCTGCAGACAGACTCATCCACGACTCTGAAGCTCATAGAGACAGCGACTCCACACCACTCACACTACACCTCTGTGACTGAGATCAGACGTTGGCTAAGGCGAGATTGGCAGGTTCAAATTCACCATGTTTTCAGAGAGGCGAACGTGGTTGCTGACCACCTAGCTAATTCGGGTCATGCGTTGCCGGTTGGTTTACATCGAGTTATAGCACCTGACAGTACCTTAGCGTATTGGCTGTATCATGACTGTATTGGTGTTCAAACACCCCGTTCCATTCCAGTATAAAGGTTGGGACGCCCTTTAAGCGTTCCGTGATTCTACCAAAAAAAATTAAATGATTAAATTTCGCTTTTTTATTAATTTTTAATAGCCACATCATACATTTAATGGTCAATTATAAAAGTTGACTGCCACTTTATAAAAAGTTAACAGAGTTGGACGGAGGGTGACCGAACTTGAGCTATTGAACTAATTTCAGTGACCAGGAATGAAATTAAATATTTGTAGTGACCAAACTTGTCATTTACAAGAAAAAAAATTATTAATTACAAAACATGGAAACCGAAAAGAGTTTTTGAGGAAATCCACACAAACCAAACCAAGCAATTACAAAAGTAGGTAAAACACGCTTCCAACCAAAAACTCGACAAAACCATGTTCAACCCGGATTGACCGATTCGATTATTTTTGTAAGCTGGTTGGATGGAAATCGAGGCGATTTTTCAACAAAATCCACACACGATCCAAACTGCCAATTATAAAAAGTGTGTAAAATTCGCTCTTGACCCAAAACTCGTCAACAGTAGATTGGGTACTCATTGACTTGGGGTTCATTTATATGTAGATTCTAAGGGAAATTAAGGCATAAAAGTAATTAAGAAAGAAAGGTCAGTTACAAAAGTAGGTAAAACACGCTTCCAACCCGGATTGGCCGAATCGATTAGTTTTTCTAAGCACGTTAGTTGGAAAGAGGGGCGAGTTTTTAACAAAATCCACACCTGATCCAACCTACAAATTACAGAAGCGGGTAAAACTCGTTCGGAATTAAAAACTCGTCAACATTGAGTTCAACTCGCTTTGCTCGGATTGTATTAGATTGGGTACCATGGGCTTGGATTCATTTATATTTATATGTATAGTCTAAGGGAAATTAATGCATGAAACTCTCAAAGTTTTCATTAATTACAAAAATACTTTTTTGTGAAAAATTACAAAAATACTCAAATGATGTGACTGTGGTCGGTGAGGAATAGTGTAAAAGATAATCTCTTTAAGTAGTAAATAATAATAATAAAAAATAAATAATAATGTTATCTTTCACTCCTCGGCTGTCATGAAGAGGAAGTGAGCAGACCATTTAGTAAGAAAGAAACTCCTATTACTACAAGGAGCAATGGAGTAGAATGATACATCTGAGACAAAGGTAAACAAATTCAAACTTCAGATATAGAAGGAACAAAATGGGCCATATAAAATACCTCCATCAGCTAAAAAAGGTCGTACAAAACCAAAAAGAGCTGCCTCTGTTTGTCTCCTTGGTCAGCTGGTTTTCACGAAAGGGGAAACCCTAGAGTCTTACCCCGCAGCTGCCGCCGTTCTGGTCCCCCATCTCCTGCAGTCGACCCCATACATAATTTACTGCAAGTATTACATATTTATTCTATTCTTTCTATTTCTTTTCCCTTTGTTTTCCTCATTTTGTCTTCTTTCACAGTTGGAGTAAGAAGCTATTGCTGCCCCAAAACTCTATCACAACCGATCTGTTATTTTCGGCGACAACAGAAGGGAAAATGTTGCCGCAAGACCCACATGGTATTTTACAATTAGTTGAATAGAGGTTTGTCCGAATGCTTTTAGATATAATGACTCAGTTTCCCATTTGGTTTTATATGTAATGACTGAATCCACAACCTTTCGTGAGCTTCATCTTGGAAAAAGCAACCGTTTCCTCATGGCTAGATTGTTAAACATTTGGTCAAAATGTGAGTCAGATGGAAATAGATCTATTACCTCCATGCATATGCTTTGGTTAGATAAAGAGGTAAAACTATAAACATTGAACACCTACTGGTTTTACTCTTATCACAGAACAGTTACTTTAAGCTCATTTGTAACATTTTAACTCCTTTAGGGACAACTTATGGAAGAAAATGTACCCTATGAAGATTCTGCTCATATTTGCAAAGACATTGAGATTGGTTGTCTCTATACCATGATGAATCCAACTGTGATACCAGCTAGATCTGAGCGTCGAACTGCACCTTCCAATTTGAGATTGTATTTTACAAAGGAATCTTCATTCAAACCAATGATCGAATATCGGAGCACAATGCATTTTCCAGATGATTATTTTTTTCAAAGTCCTTTCAATGGTAGTGGTTCTTCAACAAGTCTTCCACCTTACTTCTCATGTATTCATTGTTTATACTTAACCCATTTATTTCAACAGGTTGTATTAGAAATTGATGTGCTAAATATTGTATATTCCAAACATCATATAGATCAAAACAACTAAAATATTTACATATTTCAGATATCACAGGATGTGTAAGGCATATCACCAAACTAGCTAAAGTTAATTCTGATACATCTATGTTCCAGATTTATCTTGAAGATATGAGGTACCACTTATAATTAGTTACTATAATGTCTTACTGAATCAAGATTAGTCTATAATCATACTTATACTCCGTTTGCCAACTTTTTAGCGGAAACAAAGCACTTGTGAGCTATATTGGCACAAGAATTAAAGATTTCATTGAAAGTGATACTGCCAAAGAAGTTCATTATCCTTTGGTTGTGACAGCAAACAACACTCACCCGGAACATGCATGAATATGACCATATTCCACAGTTCTGTTTCGTAACATCTCCTGGCAGTCGTCTTATAGTACATTCGTACAATCAGATGACCAAAGATTTAATGAACAGGTAAATGGTTATATTTATATGTTTACTTTTAATATATTTTGCATGTTTTTTCCTAGAAATAGTCTAATTTAACTTTCAAAACACTCTAGGTTCTTTCCTAATAGACTGCCTATGGATATCATTGACTACAAGTCAAAAGAGCGGCTTGGATACCTTCGGCGTGATATTCCGCCCAGAATCTCATTATTGGAATTGACCAACAAGCTGCCTTTAGGAGAAGAAGAAACAGAGGTAACTATCATTACCTTCTATGCTCTGTTATACATTTGTGAAGGAAGTATATTTGACAAATAAAAAGAAGTTTCAAATTGACTTTTAACAGTAGCGGTGTTTTCAAAAACACCTATTTCTAATTTTTGTATTTCTCCTATATCAAACTATATGACAGATACTCTATCGGTGCAAACTCAAAATAGTAAAATTGGACCTTCGTTCTGTGACCCGTGAAGTTTTCCCTAGACACACTGAGTATTTCCAAATACCTTTGCTTTTTGATTCCCTATTATAAAAATACTACACATTGACCAAATGTATCTAATCTACATATTTCTTCAGATTATTCTATGAACTGCAGGCTGAATGTGAATCAGGAAATCACAAGGCAAAGGTCATTCTTAATCATGGACCTGCTCTTGCTCTGCTTCGTAAGCCACCGATCGAGTTTAAAAAAATGCCATATGACAAGAGAGTTCAGATGCTGAAAGAATGCTGTAACATCAAATTCATGGCAGAAGTATGCATCATTGGATGAGAATATGAAGTTGAACGACAGATTCGTATGTTTGCAATTTGACATCCAAAAGCATTTCAACCATTACTGGATCTTAAACTGTACTTATAAACACTGTCCTCATTTTGCAATCCAAGAAGGTATATGTCTTCCCTTTTTTATTTCAAATACAGGAGTATATTGCTATTTATTAACACAACTGAGACTTTACATTTAATAATTAGCTTCTACTTCTGTGATTATTTCAGGTGGTAAGACTAAGAGATGAATCAGCTGGTTGTCTGAGAAGGAATCAAGGGAATGATAACTAGGAGATATGAATTCCAATATTATTTTGTGCATTTCATCCTTTCGGTAGTAGGAAAAGTACTTTTATATTGTTATTGCGATGTAGTTGTTATATTCTGATTTAGAAGAACATATACTTATGTTATTTCAAGTACATGTATGTCTTTCATTTAGTTCAGCTCTTGGTACGTATGCAAAACAATATGCACTGCACCTAATTTCCACTTCTTTTTTGTATGTTTTCCACTTGCCTAATTATAAACCACCGAATCCTCAGAGTGATTCATAAACCACTGTTTTTGCATATCATTCAATTACCTAATTAGCATATTTATCCACTGTATGCACTGCATTTGTACACCAACATAATATTTACCCTCACATTGTTAGAATGCAAGGAAAAAACGGGATAATTAGAAGATAAATGAATTGTGACTACCCATACTATAATAGCAACAATGAAAAAACGGATATCCCATATTCTCACACTTTCATGCCACCCAGAACATTTACATACCTAATTTTACATCGCAAACTATTATACGTTACTCAACTCATCTGCATCCGGCCATAGGGGGAGAATATATTCTGGGTGTGGTTTAAAAGTTTGAAACCTAAAATTGACAATTTTTTTTTTCAAAATCACCTTTAAAAGTAAAGATTGGTGTGGTTTAAAAAATGCAACATAGAAATTTAATAGGTCTGGATAAGTTGTTGGAAAATTGCTTGGTAGTCTAATGGTTACAAGTTGTTCGTATCATCAATAGGTTAGAAATTTGAAACTTAAAATTGACAATTTTTTTTTTACAAAATGACTTAATTTAATCGTATCACCAGTAAGTTAAAAGTTTGAAACTTAAAATTGACAATTTTGTTTTTCAAAATCACTTTTAAAAGTAAACATTGGTGTGGTTTAAAAAATGCAACATAGACATGTAATAAGTCTGGATGAGGTATTGAAACTTGCTTGGTAGTATAACGGTTACAAGTTGATCGTATTATCAATAGGTCAGAAGTTCAAAATTTAAAAGTGACGATTTTTTTTATTTCAAAATCACTTAATTTAATTTATATTTGTTGTGCTTTACTCAAAACAAAAAAAAAATATTAAATCAATTGTATTAACTACCACACCCCACTCTCCCCATCCCTCCCGGACATTAATCCCACACCCCATATTAATCCCACATAATCCCATTTTCACCTAATATTATCCCGCGCCCAGGTTATTTGATTGCCGAAGATCCACAATAGTTTTGTTACTTTCCCAACTTCCATTCCCTGATTTTGGAGTTCAGAATAATCGAATGGTGAAGGTGAATTAAAGTTGAATCCAAGACATGGTGTACCGTTCTTTACGTGAGTTGCAGGTTTCCCATGGGCAACAATGGTCTATTCGAGTGAGAATTTTGCGTTTATGGAGGACTTTGATAGCTGATATAGATGAAACTCTCTTCCTACACATGCTGTTGCTAGATAGTGAGGTTAGTACGTCTATTGAATTCCTTATCACGTTTCATGTTGTGTATCATTTACCCAATACAGAGCTTCTAACCATTCAAGTTTTTGACTTAAAAACGACTTGCAGGGAACAGAAATGGAGGTTGTTATTCATCGCCTTGAAATCCCGACATTCTTACCAGCCATACAACAAGGAGGAATCTACCGGATTGCAAATTTCGATGTTGATTCTTATGAAGTTTCTTTTCGGGTTGCAATGTCAACTAGACGAATCTCTTTTCATCCTAAAACTAGTGTATATCGACTGCCAAATGCTGCCGACATATCATTATGCAGTTTTCGGTTTCTAGGTCCTGCTGATTTCTTTGATGCTGTTCAAAATGATCAAATGTTTTCAGGTAAGCAAATCATTAACCAGATAGAGATCTCCAAGTAGTTATGGTTGATTTTATTATTTGAATGATCATAACATTGGTTTGATATGATGTTTAGATCTGATAGGTGAAATAGATGTTGTAGAACCAACACAAACAATTTATCACCATGGTGTTGTTCAACGAAGCAAACATGTTTTCCTAAGGCTGTTTGAGTAAGGCTTTTTGATCTGTTCTCTAATTTCCTGTGTGTTTGCTTGAAAAATGGAACTAATGAGATTCTAATTTTAGGGGAATTACGGTCAGAGTTTTACTATTCAACTCTTGCATTGAGCAAATTGAGGGTCTAAATGAAGCTGATCCAACACCAGGAACTGTTGCTATCTTCACTTCAGTCTATGCCTATATGAACGATAGTACGTAAATATGTTGATGCGTTACTAATACATTTAATGACCTACTCTAATGAAGTACTTGGTTTTTGTAGATCAATTCTATTTTATAGCCTCATTTGCAAGTAATGTCTACTTGAATTTGCACTATCCACAGCTTCATATTTTGTTGAATCAGTAAGTTAATTTCTTTATATTTAGGGTTGAATTCTATTCAATTTGGTTAGGATAACTCAATTTGTATACATTTATAATTGCATCTTCCTTAATTGGGGTCTAAATTCAACTAACATGTTTATCAGATCTAGCAACCTGCTTATTAGTCACCATGATTATATCGACTAATGTGCACAATATGGTAATTTAATACAATAATGTTTGTGTACTTCTTGCTTACTTTAGCATTTATTTCTATTATATAAGGAAATTATTTATTTACACACAGGGAAAGAAATTTGTTATTGAGGCAACAGTTGAAGCTGTCGATGTATTCTGGACACCTACTTTTCAGAAGTATATGGTTGAATTGACACTGAAAGATGGAGCTATGAAAATCAGTGTTGTGTTCCTGTCATCCGACTTTAAGAAAATAGGCAGCCAACTCTTCCCGAACCCAAGAATCGATTGGACTACTACTTTTGAAGCCAACCTGAGATCTATTACTCACATATCTCTCATTTTCATGATTGAAGTTGGACGTGTTAATGAGGTCACAAATCAGTGTCTTTTAGTGGTTAGTAAGTTGTTTGGGTAGTGTTCCTCCCCATATATCATTTAGTAAGTTAATGTCCATTTGGTGAACGTTTGAAATTGGGTAGTTGCACATTTCAAGCTATGTTTCTAATTTGGTACTTTATTAAATGGGTAAATACAATTTAATATCCAAACCTTTCATTTTAAACAATATAATAGCCAAACCTTTTCGAAAACAATCTAATATCCAAATCGTCAACTTTCCGTTCGTTTGACCGTTAGTTGACACTTCAAAAAAGCTTTGTTTAGGGGAAATTGTCACAATACAACTTTGTTTTCTTGTTTTGGCATTGCAGATGACTGAATATTTAGATATTCTATACCATCATGGTGGAGCCATGGACTTCTCGGGTTTGGAACTACGATATGTTGGTGGTTTTCCAGAGAAGATATCGATGGATATTGATGAAGTGTCGTACTTCGAATTTTTTTGAAGTGTCAACTAACGGTCAAACAGACAGAAAGTTGACGATTTGGATATTAAATTGTTTTGGAAAAGGTTTGGCTATTAAATTGTTTAAAATGAAAGGTTTGGATATTAAATTGTATTTACCCTAAGAAGATATGATCCAATTACAGCCTGTTTGGATACAATTCCGGAAGAAATGGAAATGGAAATGGAATTCAATTTTTTATTTTTATAGAATTCCATTTCAAATTCTAGTGTTTGGTATAATTCCTACAATTATGGAAATGAATTGCACTTTTAACCATAATGAATAATGTAATATATTTGTTTTATTTTGGAAAATGAAATATGAATGAGAGAGAAAGAGAGTAAAATGATAGTGGGTCAACAAAATAATAAAAAGTATTGATGGGTCCCACTAATTCCATCTTCATTCTCTCAATTCCTATCACTTTTGATAGGAATTGTAATTCCCATATTTTAGACCCATTGGAATTCAATTCTCAACCTTTTTATTATTCCAAACATAATATATGGAAATGGAATTCCAATTCCTTACTTTTTTGTCAATCCAAACAGGCTGTTAAGAAAACTAGGAAAATAATTCCTTTAATTCTCCACCTTTAAATCTGCAGTCACTTAAAAGAAGGGTCCAGATACTCATTGTTACTCACCCTATCTTGAAGCTCGTGTAGACTCTACAATTCGGTTCTCTCCCGCAATTTCCTTACCAAATAAAAAGGGAAGAACAACTAAAAAAACCTTTTCTCTTCCCTCTTTCTCTCCGATCTGTTTCTTCTCCCCTCTCCCTCCTCCACCGCAGCTGGCCCCCGTTCCCTGTACTCCTCATGTCCTCATCTTCGCACTTTGAAGCCAAAATAAAGAAGGCAACAAAGAGTAGACATTTACGGTTCTATATTCTAATTTTTAGGTTTCTAGGGTTGAACTCTGCAATGCCAAATATAATTCCCTAGGATCATTAACTGTGGCGCCATGGGTCAGAGCCGATAGGTTTGTTTTCACCCTCTTTCCTGCTTTTGCATTCTCTGTTCTAATTTATAGTAGTCTGGATAAAACTTCAGGAAATCCCATCCTCAAGAACCCTATCGACTCTTCTATTTTCTTGCATCTATGAAGTAGTTACAATGAACTGTGTGGATGAGGAGCGGCGCGAGAGTAGTTAAGTGAAGGATTGCATTGAAGGGAGTGGATAGTGTCTTTGGCTGACTCTCGATTCTAGTGATAATTCCAATACGCATGCTAGATATTGGTTACTAAGTTGCATTTGAAGTATAGTGTTCCAGGGGCGTACTGTAAAGCTATGTGAGTATGCCCCTTTCTCTTTCACCTTGTTCTTCCTGAAACGGGGTGATGGTAGTGCAGTAATCCAGTTTAGACTTTGCAACTTCGGAGCAAGATGGCTTCTGATGAAATGTAGTCATTTTTTTCTTGTTTAATATCCATTATATAATTTCAACCTAGTTCTTTGCTACTGCTGGTTTGTGAGAGTGTCCATCCTATGTTTGAATAACTATGTTATTTGTTAGCATTTTGAACATTTGGTGACTCTTTCCAGCTTGTGTTTGTTTTGTTTCAATGACGTAGAGGAGCTGCTTTGTTAGTAGAAGGTGCTGAGATGGGTGATCTTGATGCTAAATATGGTTGCTATAGGAACTCTGGCACATGTTGCTGGAGCATATTTTAATAAGGTAGCTTCAAAGTTCAACATAGCAGGCAACAAATATAAAAAAGATATATTCCCTCTGATAGGATGCTTCACATCATAGCACAGGTTTGGATTTCAGTTTTATGTGTGCATCATATAACTATTTTCACTATCTATGCAACATTGATGAAGATTATTACTCTTTTCTTGCACCAAGTACATGACAACAAGGTTTGGGGCTTTTAGTTGCCATGGGTTCAAAGGGTTTATCTTAGATATGAAATATTTTATACTGGTTTTTCAGCATTACAACTATAGATTGGTTGTTTAGGAACTTGACGAGCTGAAGAAGAATCAGTTTAGTTTTCTGCTGGAGGCAAAGAATCAGTTTAGTCATCTGGATTAAGTTGTATAGCATACTGAAGACGATGAGATAGGAGTGGATATTTAGCCAAACTTAAGTGGATTTTAATGAAAGACAAGATAGAACAAGAGGTTGCTGCTACTGTCAAACGAGTTGATATGAACTTGGCTTTCTTGCTGTTGTTATTGATCATGCGAATGAGTCTATGCATGAAGCCAAGGATGGAGAAAATAATATATTGCTTATCAATATGCTCAGATTTAATTCGGGTAAAAAAAATTATGTGGGGAGCTCTCCCCTCTCTCCTTCAATTTGGGAGATGGATTGGTAGTTTTCGGCTCTCAATGATGATTTCAATCTTCATGCGGTGCTTGAGGAATCAACGTCTCACTCGAGATTGGATGACTAGCAAAAAGCAACATCCACCCTCACAAGAAGAAGGATTAATGACGGATTCTGGTAAACTCTGGAGCGTCTCTTCCTGTCGCCATCAGCGCGGCTACCAACATAGCTATGGCGTCGCTTTAATGGATAAATGCTTTTCCAGATAAAGGGATAGTAAACGGAAGCTCGGGCTTGTCCTAGCAGAGAACAAAGTTCTCGAATTAACTAAACGTAGGCGACTATCAAGAATGGTTGCTTGGAGATTTATAATTCCTTCCATGGAATAATTGGAAATGGAGGGGTTGGGAAAAAGACAGCTTCATCGGTTGCTGATGAGAAGGCAATCAGGACGGCCTCTGAAAGCGGTACATCCGTACCCTAGCAAGGCTTGGATTGTACAGGGCCCCTTGATGAACGGACTGATACCGTCGATAAGCGCCCGACCAGAGCTCCGGGCCGGTGTGATTATAGTATGGAGACTCTTCCCTACGACACGCTCTCAAATATCCCCGATGACCGCAAATGCTCCGTCGACGAGAATGGGATCTGTAATCCTAACCGACGTGAGGTTGTTGGAGGAATATTTCCCCACGATACGATATCCAATATTAATGGGATTTTTCAAAATACAAAAAAAGATTATTTTTTTTTAGAATAAGAGTCCCTCTTCTCGACAAATTCGAAAAACCCCAAACCGAGCGGTTGTGGGGAATCCTGGCAACGGATCTTGTCTACCCTATAAGACTCTCCATCCTAGGCCTGATGCTCTCGTATTCTCTAATCTAAGAGTAGAGCTTACGACAAGAGCAACGGACGACAAACCATTTTCCAGGATCACCTCGCGCTCAGGTACAGTTTGCTTCACTCCCCTTCTCCCTCGTCTTCCTAATCTGTTCGATGGTCCCTCTTATGAATCCACGTCTCAGCGAATTTTTAGTGATACAATAGACTGTATTTCTATGAGTCCCTGACCAGGAACAGTTATTGCACCAAGCATATGTATGTGCCTCGTCCGCCACACCTGAAGGCGTAAGCAATAAATTTTAATCTTGATACCTCTAATTCAAAGGTTTTCAAGATGGCTCATATTACCTCGGACGAGGTGGTACAATTCTCGATGTAAGAAGTGAAATCGACAAAGTAACGAGCTGCTCACTCATTACTCAGTCGGCTCTTCACTAAGAAGTAGGGCTGGGAAAATAGACCAGACTGTTAGAAAAACCGTGGTCCAAACCGTACCGCACAGTTTGGTCTGGACCATAGACCGTTAAGTATGGTCTGGTCTGGTCCATGGTCTGTATTATTTTATGTTTTGATCTCTTGGTCTGGTCTGGTCTAGACCGCAGTTTACCGGACCAAACCGTGGACCCAACTGTTAGAAACCGATTTCTTTAGGGTTTCTATATTTATGGTTATAATTATTATTAGGATATTTCTTATTATGGTTAGTAGTCTTCTAGTAGAATTAGGTTTATTCTTAGGGTTTCCTAGTATTTCCCTATATATATGTACTTTGGGTCATTCGTCGAATTAAGCAGAAGTTAATAAAGAATTATCTCCCTAAATTCCTATCACAATCCTCTCAATTCTTGACCTCAATCCCTCTAAAGGTTTAGACCGATTCTCTTCTATTCTTCTCCAAATTCTCCTCAAATCCCTAAATCCCCAATTCTATTCTATAAACCCTAAATTCCCAATCTCTAGATCTGATCTAGAAACCCGTTAGAAACTTTGTTTCTAACATTTGGTATCAGAGCCCGGTTTCGAGCATTGAGTTTTTCACAACTCTCAACCGGGGACGAGTTCTACAACTGGTTCGACAATGAGCTCTTCAAGACTCTCAGATCTGTCATGGGCGGAACTGCGGGAACGGGCCCGCCGCATCGGACGTCGTTGGATCCCCGACGAGCTGCCGATCGTGCATGAGGAAGTGATGCCCAAGGAGACTGACGTAGAACTATCTCCGCAGCTGGCTGAGCGCGACGCAACGGCAACGCAGCCGCCGACCGCAGGTGCCGTCGGGACCGACGAGAAGCCCTCTGCGACCAGCGCCGCGACGGACGATGAAGTCGAGGGGATCGAGGAGAGCCGCGGGGTGGAGGAGCAGTTGGAGTGCCCGCTGGCTGTAGCTTCCGCGGGGGCGACGACTGTGAGGACGAGGATGTGGCCTGAAGCAAGCTGGGCTCGTCGCTGCCGGGAGGAGGGCTTGATGCCGGAGGAGTCGCCCCGGGAGGAGTTGGAGGAGAAGCAGCCGACGATTGAGGAGGAAGGCGGCGGCACCTCTTCGCTAACAAGTTCTAGGTCTCCAATGGAGGATTTGGATGGGCCAAAGGCTGAGCCCGTTAGAGTTTTTTGTGGGCCAACTTTCGGGCTGAGAAAGAAAGACTATGAAGGGGTTCAAGAGGCTAATGGGCCTCAAAAGCAGCAAATATTTGAATTTCAATTAAGTTTTCTGGTTGCAGAGCTCATATATGGAGTTGGGCCAAATATGAGAGAAAAGCGGGCCGAACAAGGACTGTGTAGCGGGCCCAACACAAAGCTGGTAGTGAGTTTAATTAACAAACGTGGGCCTTATCCTTTTGAGAACATTGGGCCACCTGGATCCCTTTTATGTGGGGTGGAATTAGAAGACAAAGTGGATGGGTTTAGGGGTTTAGCTGATGGGCTTTCAAAAGAGTTTGAGCAACAAGCATGTGGAGAAGCAAGAAGGCCAAGTCGAGGAGTGGAGCATGATTGGAAGAAACGAAAGCGCAAGAAATGGGTGAGTCGGCATACGCATTACGTGGGAAGGAAGGAAGAGTGGGTCAAGGCGGTCAACCTTGAGGGCAAGGTTGGTCTGAAGGGGGAGGAGATGTTAGAAACCGATTTCTTTAGGGTTTCTATATTTATGGTTATAATTATTATTAGGATATTCCTTATTATGGTTAGTAGTCTTCTAGTAGAATTAGGTTTATTCTTAGGGTTTCCTAGTATTTCCCTATATATATGTACTTTGGGTCATTCGTCGAAGGAAGCAGAAGTTAATAAAGAATTATCTCCCTAAATTCCTATCCCAATCCTCTCAATTCTTGACCTCAATCCCTCTAAAGGTTTAGACCGATTCTCTTCTATTCTTCTCCAAATTCTCCTCAAATCCCTAAATCCCCAATTCTATTCTATAAACCCTAAATTCCCAATCTCTAGATCTGATCTAGAAACCCGTTAGAAACTTTGTTTCTAACACCAACGACTTGTCAATACGTGGTAACAGCCCATTCGACCACTCTCTCAACTCCCACAATGACACCTAAGTCTCAACCTTAATTTTGTGAATCTCGTACCTCCTTCATTCACAACCACATTTAACTATAGAGTAGAGATAATCGTGTCTCCATATGACATTATGTTAATGTTTATGACGTTATGGTGCAAGTTGGGATGCTTTTACTTTGTATCTTTGTTATGTACTAAGATTTAGGGTATCAAAATTATTCATGCATGTTAGGATTTATATTTTAAGGCAAATAACAATTATTTTTCATGGTTATTGGGTCAATGTTTTGTGTGGTTGACTAAACAAATTATTCATTTTTGGTTGAGTGTGGTCTATCTGGACCAGACCAGACCGAACCAGACCGCACAGGCGTGGTCTGGACCAGACTGTATAGTCTGTGGTTTGGTCTGTGGTCTATACTTCAACCTCTCGGTCTGGACCATAAACCGTATATATGGTCTGGTCTGGACCAGACCGCACCGTTTCCCAGCCCTACTAAGAAGAGGATATCGACTATGGAGTTTGGGAGTCTGTGATCACATGGATTGGTGAGGCGAAACATGGATTGATCGAGTTTATACTACCCAATGAAGAAGCTAAAATCTAGGTGCTCAAACGCACTCCGTGGGTGATCAATGACAAGATCATCCAACTAGGGGCATGGACTCCGGTCTTGACGAAGCAGATTTTTGATGATCTAGCAATTGCGCCATTCCGGGTTCAATTGGGAGATGTGAAAGAAGATTGTTGTACGC